AAAAAAAAAAAAAAAAAAAAAAAAAAAAAAAAAAAAAAAAAAAAAAAAAAAAAAAAAAAAAAAAAAAAAAAAAAAAACTCAAAATATATATTTTTTTCTCAGTCTCTCTCTCTCTCTCTCTTCTTAAAACTCTCCCAATTCTATTTTTTGGACTTGGACAAGTTTGGAGCATCATCCAGCAGGCTCACATTCTGCCTCTGTTCTCTTCGTTCATCATTCAACAAGTTTAGACATTATGTTCACTCACTATATAAACTATTTCCATAGAAAGATTCAACAATAAGGTTCAAAGATCTGATAATCAAGAGATAAAAGATAAGTGGATGCCCAAAACACATTCTCTACCAAGCTTGAACATTATAATTCACATAATTTATTATAACCATTTGGTTATCAAATAAGAACACTATGGCACTAACATGATTTGAAAAGTTAATTTAGGAATTAGGAAATAGGAATCAGCTCCCATATCCTTATGGTACCATCATCGCTCGCCGAACCAAGAAGCCTCTCCTCCTGACACAAGATGAATTGGAAATGTTAGAATGAGAAAAAAGCTTAGCGTCTCATTAGTAGCAGAGATAATAGCATACAATCAGCCATTTGAATTATAGACCAGCTAAAAGACAGAAGTTAACAGCTCAGAGTAATGGGGCTGTGATTCCTGAGGTCTTCCGACTTTCACTTGGGCAGATGGTGCCAGCTTGTATGTGTGCGATCCCACGTCGGTTGGAGAGGGGAACCAGTCCTTATAAGGGTGTGGAAACCTCTCCCTAATGGACACGTTTTAAAACCTTGATGGGAAGCTTAGAAGGAAAAGTTAAAAAATGACAATATCTGCTAGCGGTGGGCTTTGACGGTTACCGTATGTATCTCAACTAATCTTAGGATACAAGGCAGTGGCTACTAAGGATTTGAGTCGACAGATCATAGTATATCGGTCCATACATGACTAAAGTTTGATTCCAGTCATGAGCCTAATCATTTAAATGCTGGTCAAGTAAACATTTTGCATGTTGAAATAAAAAACTTACCCCTGGGCTCCATTGCACTGAATTTACATCCATGTTATGGGCTTTCTCCTTCTTAAATAGCAACTGGAATGAAGGTCCATCAATCTGCAAGCAGAAAAGAGAGAGTGGTCAATATTTTTTCCTTTCCTTTCATTGAAAGTTCCACTACATTTTCACGTCCTAAAATTAACGACCCTAACATGAGCATAGCTCAATGGTTAAGACATCCCCGTTTCTGTTAAGAACTCGTAGGTTTGAATCCCGACCCTATATAAGGTGAACAAATGCATATAATAATAAGGTGAGGCAGGCATTCATTACCACTTTCTCTTGATTCTCCACAAACAAACGGATAGAATCGTCAGCTGCTCCACTGGAAATTATACCATTTCTGTCACATTCATGTGCAATAATCATCAGTCTCATAGATGTATGGTTAGAGATTACAATATAAGATGAACAAATTTCTGGACGCCCTAATTTCTATGAAATTACTGGAGTAACTGTCTTTAAATACGGTAACATGAGGAAGAAAAATCTTTAATAGACCTAAAATTAAAACCTTAGAGCAACAAAATAATTAATTTACCTCGACCAATGAATGGAGAAAATTGTTCGATCATGATAACCAGAAAGAGTACAAGTATGCCTCCTAACAAAACCAGATAAAAGAACTTCCCATCAGCATGGTTACAGAAAAACAAACACAACACAGCAGTTGAAGACGAACAAAGATATAAATAGTGTCTCATTAAGAAATTAATAATAATAATAATAAGATGATAACTAAATAAATAACACAGACATATAAACAGGTAAGAAATCAATGTTATGTCGTAGAAGCAAAATCTTCAAGAAACAGGGATTCCTTTTTAGCTCATACGATTACAAGGTTTTAACCAACGGAGACCGTGTCGATTAGATAAATGATATATATTCTGAATGTTTCTTTCATTTTCAAGCCAATGCTCATATTTAAGCATAAAAACCAAGCAGCCAAGGTACTAAAAATACAGGACACATAACATATGCACCAAAATTAATCCGATCAATAAATTTCATTATTCCGAAGGCACAGAACAATAACGATGACGTTTTTGTGTCGCTCACCATGGTGAATAGCCACCCCCAGAATGCAACCTTGTCTCATCTGATTCCCATATTTTAAGGGTGAGATCATCACTACAAAAGTGCAACATTGTCAAATTAGATCCACCTACTCGAATCATTTAAAACATGGTTTGAAATAATTCCTTATTAACGTTCATATGAATGAAGAAATGGGGAAAAAATGAATAGCTTCCAAGAAAATTTCAAGTTTTATTGCTCTCTCTCTCTCTCTCACACAGAGCTTACCTACAGGTGACCATTTTGTTCCCAGATGGATTAAAAGAAAGGGCCCAAACTGTAGAAGAGTGACCACTGAAAGAAAATTGGCATCATAATCAAGTTAAACCTGAGGATTGGTTTATAAAAAATGCATGAGAGAAAAGTGAAATAGTTATGTACTTGTTAGATTCATCCAAAGTCTGAACACAGTGCCAATCATCGTTGTCGTCATCGCCTGCCCAAACCTGAAGTGGTTTCATCCTCATAGATCAATATCTCCTGTGCAAATCTGAAGCAATTTCCATACGCAGATCAAAAAAAATAATATCAGAACCCATCTTAGAAGTACCTTGACAGTGTTGTCATAGCTGCACGAGAATAAAAGATCCATGGTCGGGTGCCACTGAACCATTTTTACGTCTTGTGTGTGTCCTTGCAACACAGAAACACACTCATACTCATTGCCTGGAAAGACTTCCCAAATCCAAACGGTTCTATCTCGACTGCACGTTGCAAGCAGAGAACCAGACGCATTCCAAGAAACGCTCTTGATCTCATTCTCATGACCCTAAAAGTCAACCAACAAGACAGATATTTTATATGCACTGATGAATGGATAAGACAAGGGCAATAAACTAGCAGATACCCCCATCCTTATGGATCATCAGGATAAAATCTTGCAATGAATATCGTGTCTACATATAATACTTGATAGACAATACTACCTCTAGAGTGGAAACGCATTCATAATCACCCCCTATATTCTCCCAAATAGCCGTGGTGGCATCAAAGCTTGCAGTGGCCAATAATTTACCGTTTGGTGACCAAGCGCACGACCTAACAGTTCTAGTATGCGTTTCTTCCAAAACTGCCTGTAAACAACACTACATTATCATTTCAGCTCCCAAAGTCAAAAAGCTAAGATTTCGATTAAGTGTCTTACAATCAAATGGAGAATAAAAAATTTCACAAAACAAAAGGAACTCTTGTAAGATGAGAAACTTTCTCGGTTGCATAAGTTCTTCTGTTTATGCGTTCGTCATCTAAATTCAAATATTTCGTGATAACATCGAAGTAAAAGAACTACCAACTGGATAAACAATTTCCAATAAACTAAAATCACTGTATCCACGTTAAAATCCAATACAATACAAGCTCTAATAATCAAAAATTCAACAAAAATCGATAGATGAAATAGAACCTTGCAATTCCACGAACCAGAGGAAGGATTTTGTTCCCAGATACGGACGGTTTTATCACCGCTGCAGGAAGCGAAAACAAGTGGAATTCCTCCAACTCCGGCGGCGGGATTCCATGCCAGACTCCATACCCTGTCAGTGTGTCCTTCAAGCTTCGCAGTCTCCTTGAGCTCGAATCCGCCATCCCAAAGCTCCATCACAAGAATGGCCAAATCTCCGGCAAACGGGAAGATTAAGCCCTTGGTCCGCAAGCTTGGAAGACTCTGCAGCTCCGCTGTAATGCGCGGCAAAGGGATCAGCACGCGCCGCCGCGGATTCTGAACTCAACGAGTCGCCCGCTTATAGAGATTTATGCATTAATGAAGTAATGCAATCTAATCTTGCATATTGAATCAAAGTATTTCGATTTATTTATTTATATTTATGCTTTGACTTTTGTAATTTAGTTTAATTTTATGATGGACCAATAAGTAGTGCATTTATTCATCAAGGGAATAGTTGGAATGCTCGCTATTTCAATTAAACCGGAGCGGTTCATCCAGATCGTTAAGGGTTATTGCAGCAGAGTCGAGTCGGTTCGAATCGGTTCGAAGCGGTCAAGAGTTGCAACAAATCAAACTACTCCATTCCCGTCTTCTTCTCTCAACCAAAGGCGCGGGAAGTTTCTACTAACCCTAACGCATCGATCAGAAGGCAAAGAACTCGCGAGAACATCGACAATGAACTCAGCAGGTCGAAGAAGCGGAGGAGGCCTTTTCGAAGGCCTGTACAGAGTGATTATGCGCCGTAATTCTGTTTACGTCACCTTCATCATCGCCGGTGCTTTTCTCGGAGAGCGGGTAATGTTGTGGACCTCATTTTTCATACTCATTCATGTCTGTTCCTTTTTTCTCTATATTTTTTTTTGGTGGATTGTGGTTTTGTTAATTTCGTTTTCCGCACTTGATCTGAGGGTCTAGTTTTTGCAAATCACTGGATATTGGTGTTAAACTTCGTGGCTATGTTATCGCTGATTCATGGAAAAAGTTCAACGAAATAAGTTTATTCGTATCTGCCCGCTCACAAGGTGAAACTGTATTGAAATTTATGGTTTATCTGCTGGAGGAGAAACGATAAAGCGTAGAGGATTCATATATTGGTTTTTTTTTTTTTTTTGTTCCAACATCCTCTTTGGATTCATATATTGGTTCTGGCATCAATTAAAAAATTCGCCGAACATGATCGTATTGAATTTCATTGATGATTGTGTGCAGATTCTGAATTATGTAAATACGGAATTTGGGCATTATTTGATCTGTTTATTGTAGTCAGAGGGATTCATTTTTTGCTTTAAATTTTAAACTATCATGATAATGGAAGTGGTAACCAGGAAAAACGAACGTAAGGATGCTTCTCTGTTTGTTTTATGGACTGTTATGTAATGGGCATTGTGGCAGGGGACTTGTGAGCCGCATGGCATTTGTGTTGTTTCTGTAAGTTTATGGTATCTTTTTCTTACCTTAATGCTAGTATTTCTAATGGCGCAGGCTGTGGATTATGGAGTTCACAAGCTCTGGGAGTACAACAATGTTGGGGTATGGAACTTAACCCCATAAATTGATTTACTTTGTTTTTCTGCGTACACATTTCAAATTTGTTGATGGCCTCTTTCTCCACATAGACGATCATTTTGGCTATTCTTGTGTGCTCCATTAATCTAGAATAAATACTTGATGTTTTATTCTGGATCTTTATTTGAAGATCATTTATTGTGTACTTAAGATCAGGAAAGTCTTGATTTCTAGAAAGTTAAGGCTGTATTAGAACTTTCCTGGGATAGTTATAAACTAATTAGTTTGTGTATTAAACCGTGTCACGGTTCAGAAGCAAATTGGTTTTAACTACTCAGACCTATGGTTGTGATGTTCCCTTTTTCATGTATGTTAAGTGAGCTGTCAATAATTACTAACCACGGGCACCAAAAACATAACTCAACTAATTAAGATATTATATCCTTGATCGAAAGTCAAAACTTTCGAAGTTTGAAGACTACCTTAATCTTACATGTTGAACTCTTAAAAGGGCTGTTAGGATTGATACTCAGCACCCACAAAGTAAACAGTATTTATTAGTTTTTTTTTTTTTTAATTGAAAATGTTCTTCATAACGATGAGTAAAATGGGTCGAAAGAACAAATCAAGGGTGATTTACATGCTAGACAAATTATATGAAGGAAATTTGAAACATTGCTTTTTTTTTTTTAAATTTATTTTCATTTTCCTCCAATTAAATGTCGATCTATATTATTCATCCTTATTCGACTACAATCCTTCTTTAGAGGAGATGCTTACCTGCGTAAAAGTGCTACTGAACAACTCTTGTTCCGAATTAGTAGCTTTCTTAACTCATTTTCAACTCTGTTTTGATATATGATGGTCTAATAATTATGCAGAAGCGGTATGAAGACATTTCAGTTTTGGGGCAAAGACCGTCGGAAGAATGAACTTGTCAGCCGCCAATTGAAAGCTTACACAATCATGGACACGAGGTAAAAAAAACTGGTGGCTTAGGATGGTAAATGAGAATGTATTTCCAATGGAAAAAACGTTCTTTCTTTTCAGTCTGGAAAGTTTGTGTTTCTTCATGAGATTCTAATCATATTTTATTTGATTAAGTTCGGAGTTCCGAGGTTTCGTATATTACCTTTGATTTTGATCATCGAGAATACATGAAAAGCAAATTGTTAAGAGTACTAATTACAAAGTTATTAGGATATGAGCAGTGGCATAATGGTGTTACCCTTAGGTTGTAACTTTTGTACATAGATGGAGTTTAGAGAACTTGAGACAATTTAAAGAAACTCTGCAAATTAGTCAGTCTATAGGGGATTGGGGGAGGAAGATAGCCTCTCGAAAAGTTATCGTCTTTGTCGTTTCTCTATAGTTTCGGTGCTGAAACCGAAGAGGGAGGCTCTTGGAATTTTGCAAGAGAAGTAGAGGGGTTGTTTTGTTAGAGAGAAGAAAGAAGGGTCGAGTTGAGAATCGAACCATTTGAATTGGTTTTCTACCAAAAAAATAAACGAACCTATCGAATGTGGTTTAAAACTAACATATCAAACCTAGGCTTAGAAAACCGAGCTAAGTAGAGAGTTTTGGTTTGCTTGGTTTTCATCATGTTTTTACCATACTGCATAAGGTCATACCAGGGAGGTTCTAGTGCTGTGAATTTGATGGGTTACATACTCACAAGGCTTTATCATTTGTGCTATTACTATCTAATTTTTTAAAAACAATTTTCAGTTTATAAGCTTTAATAAATAATGATTTTTTAACATTACGATTATTCTACGACTTAATATTCAAGCACGTGATTTTATGAAATCTGAAGTCAAATTCAATCCAAATTACTTGAATCTTTTGTCATAATTGGTCGATTTCAGGAAATGCCTTCTATACCCAACCGAGTTTAAAGAATAAGAGGATATTTTAGTATTTTCACCTCCCTTCTCAAAATGAAAAATGTCGATATATATAAATATTATTTTGTTTTTTCAAATTTAGGCGGTGAAAATATTTTGGCTCTCTCTCTTTTTTTTTTTTTTTTTTTTTTTTTTTTTTTTTTTTTTTTTTTTTTTTTTTTT